TTTCAAAAGGTCTAATAGAATGGTGCCTATAATAAATTAAAATTATTTGAATCACACCAAATTCCGCATTGCTGCGCTGCACTGCCAGGCGATTTGTCGACAACTGAAAGTTAGGAGGCAGTCGCCCAGAGCAACTGTCGATGAACGCTGTTTGCCCGCACGCGCATTATTCAACTGGGCGTATATATTTCTACCACCTGCACGTTTAGTTCTACCAGACCTGTATATGGGTATGGCTAAATAAATACGGGAACAAGTTTTTCAAATATTTCAATGCTGAGTTGCTGCGTAGCGACCGAGCCTGGTACAGACTATCAAGTTCTTGGTTCTTCAACTGAAATCGGAAAGACTATATGTTACAAAGTTATATAGAGTTTCTAAGTAATCATAAATATTACAAATGACGATTTTTCCAACCTGAAAAAAGTTCTTATTAACATATATCAAAAAAAAAATAAATGTACCAAATCCAAAACCTTTCCCAAATATAGGATGGTGAAGTTTAATTTTTCTTTCGTCTTTTCTCTAAATATTAGAGGGTACGGTTAAGTGTAAAATAAAATTTAATAATGTCATCAGGGGCGTGCGCGTAGGTAATAGTCTCCAAATATTTTAAAATATTATCTGCACACAGCTGACGTTGTTAATTTTATGAGTATTTTTTATAATACCCGTTCATTATAAATAGACAAAATATATTTTCAAATCTATAACTTTAAAAATTAAAAACATGATAGAAACATAACGAACAATTACTAAAATGCTAAAAATTACCGTAATTGATTATGTCAACTTGTCAACTGATCCTCAAACATATCTAAAAATACAGGGGTGTTGCGAATAATATTACAAGACTGTATTATTTATTTTTGCAGTTCTTCTATGGTCGAAATTAGAGCAGCGTAAAGCAGTTGCTTCAAGTAACACTAAAAATAAGTCAAGGGACCGGGGTGGTAAAGGATATATTTCCGAGCAGTTAGAGTAAAAAAGAGACACCTCATCCTGTATGGGAAATACTAAGGAATGTCTCGTAGTCAAATACAAATTTTTTAGGAGTTCAGAAAGCACATTAATAATGAAATGGTAACATGAATTCTATCGATTTGGCCCTATAGGTTCCCATTAATACCAGTCCACACATTAACGGAAAACCTTACCTGATAATCTACCTCAAATATTTTAGAATATTCATGAAGCACACCGCAATTGAGCTGGTTTGAGTTTTAGGTGTATTTACAATTTCAAAATGTATTCTATTTGCAAGTCCTTCATAGTAACATTTTGTAGTATAGATTTGCTCGATATATTTCGTGTAATATTCAATATAAATAGTCAGGATTAGAAATTGACGTAGTAGGTACCAACCTACTTAGTATAAAGTACCTACTATAATTTTTTAGATGATAATGAAAAAAATACTTAAACAGACATAACCTTCATAAATGTTTACAAGCCATGTGACCAGTAATTCTGTTTGGAACAGTAATTTTATTCCTTTTATGTTGGCAATTAAATTTCGATAAAATTAAAACAATAAAATCAAAATTATATTAAAACACAACATTCTGTTTCAGAGGCTGGTGTTTGGTGCAATTTTCCACAAGATTTTATTAAACCAATCACCGACCGCATTTTCTATATCTAACGGTTTGTCATTGTTCATTATAAATGAATCATTAACCAGTACCTGCCCTGCAATGTTGGCTGCCTAAGCTCGGTAGTCACGTGGCGTAGAGACGTTTATAAAGGCTGTGTGCCTAATATGGTGAAACTGTAAAACAAATTTGTAGTAATATATTCATTAGTATTTTTATTCTGATAAAGAATACATAAGTACATATTTCTATAAATTCGAAGTAGACAGATACTGGCATTGACGGAGAAACATAACTATTTCTTTAATGACACCAGTAGTTCATTGTTGCGCGTTTATGACAAATGAAAGTGGTGAGGGAACACCAAAATGTTGGCGAAGGATAAAAAACTGACTTTATTTAAATTCATTCTTATAATACTAAATTTTCTTGACATTGAAAAGTAATAGCTAATCCTATCCGTCTTACCCTACAGTACAGCGATAATTGCTATCTTTTACCTTTAAATTTATAAATAAATATTATATCAGTTGAGGTAAATATGTATTATAACAGGTAGTACTTATTTAGATATCCACTAGCGGGTATTTATAGATAGATATGATGGAAAAAAACATTTTTTATCAAGACGTATTTTAAGAATGTTTAATAAATGATTGTGCATTTATCATACACATCAACCATAATTTCCATTCTGAAATTTTTAATTAGGTTATGTAGATACACCAAATTTGAGCGGTGGCCAATTGCGAGGCTCTTGTTCTTTGTGAAATGTATGTAAATTGAATATAGATATTTCTGATGAATTAAGAGAAATGCAAGAGTTATAAATTTAGAATTTTCAAAAATTATCCACCTATATTAAGAGATTTTTAAAAGTTAACAAATGCAAAAACGACACATTTTTTATACCTAATGGTAAAATAAGGTACAAGATTCAAACATATTTTTTAATTATGTTTTACAGTCAAATTACAAAAAGTATTATTATCTACTGATAAATTAATTGATTTTGATATCAATCATTAAGTAAATTTACTTATCGATCATTAAGTATTAATATATAATATGTATTTACTATGAATTAACCAATTTTATTTTTACTGTCATATACCTCTATAACTAATAGCTAAGGATAAAATAAAATTTTAAATATAGATAAACTTTTTTTTTACTCGGATTGTTGCGCGAGGCTCCTTCAAGAGAATTGCCCTGCTGGCCACCCCCTAAGGCCGCCACTGCCTAATTTGATTTATTTATACAAAGATGAACCAGGGGATAGCGAACAAGTAGGTACCTAAGTAGTACCTACGTACATACATGAATCGATTGATTACATTTAATATTTGAATATTATTGCGGTTACTACTATCTAGTCAGTAATTAGTACCTAATTTTTATTCGTAGGTACAAATTTTTGATATTTTATATTTTTAGTCATGTTCCTGTTTTTTTTTTAAATAAATAAATTTCACAATTCACATTACATTCACATTCAACCAAAACAGTGATAAGATTGATAAGAAAACTTTTGTTGACGCTTCGAAAGTTGGAAATGCATTTTTAACATTTCCGTCAAAAGCGGAAATATTGTAATATGAATTTTCTATTAGATCAAATAGCATGTATAAGCAATTGTTAATGTGAAGAGCCATCTACCGAAAACGTTGAAAGTTAAAAAAAAGATTAGTTTTTATATTCATGTGGGCATAATGAAATTTATATATTTGAATGCTATACAGAGGGTATGCCACTTAACATTCGTAGATAAATGGTTTAGTTTGGCATAAAACTATTTTCTTTATGTTCTTATGTTCATATTTGAAGATGGCGCTGCCGTGCAAAAATATTTTTTAAATAATAAAATTGAGTTACTTCATAAAATTAATTTAACCTAACTTAATATTGTTTATTGTTTTCTGACAAGAATAACCGTCCATTACATTTTAAAACTTTTCGAGACTTTTACTTAGCACAGTTAAACGGATATTATTAAAGGGATTACTTACATCTCCGATTCAATCCCCAGTCTATTGTAATTATTATTAAAAAATAAATTGATTATTGAATGGAAACAATTTGGTAACTTGACTTATAAAAATTCTAGGTTATATTAGATTTCCTTTGAAAAATAAATGGATAATACCTGCTGTGTCTACTTTACTTTTAGTTTGCTTTTAATTTTGCATCAATATTGGAATACCTTAAAATATTTTTAAGTTTTTGTTTTAATATTTTGAAGTGGGTTGCTGCCAGAAAATATGTAGGAGTTGCTACGTAAAATATCTTTTTTTTTCAGAACGATAATAAAAATTCCTAAGGACCCTCAGATAGTAAAATATAGTACGCTCGATCTAAGAAAACGCAGGGAACTAATTCGATAGGCGTGTTCTAAAGGGTTTAATAAGTGGGTTAAGGGCTACCAGTCGTGCCCCTATTGGCCAGTTTACATGACGTTCCCAGTTCAACCAATAGAATTTTATATTTATCATACTTCACAGTTGATGTGTATATAGAAATGATGAAGTATCAACAATGGCAATCGGTAAAACTGCATATATACATTTTTAAGGCATCTATTTTGGTATGTTGTTTACAAATTGTCATTTATACGTTTATAATATTAGAAGCTAAATATGCAGGAAAAGATCTGTTGCCGTAAAAAGAAGTGCTATTAGCGGTACGCCCAAGCACCGTGACGCATTCGGCAATTAATAAAATATTTAAAGCGCAATACCGAACCGGCTACGCTTCCGGGCCGGGCGCCGTACCTGCCGTCGCTTCCTGAGGTTGTGGGGCCCATGCAAAAACACAATCGACATTTATAATAGACCTCAAGGCAGGTAACTTCGAGATGGGCCCATTACTTTTAACGGGGTAACAATTCAGTAGATTGGAATTACGCGTGTACGTAATGACAGACGTCTTTGACAGCGTGTGCCGATGCTCAGAAGGAGGGATTTCGTTTCTCCATCTAAGGATAAGTTGTCCTTATATGGAGGCGAGCGATTCTAAATATGGCATTGGGCTGTCCTAACCGTGTGTGTTTACAGCCCACTTTTGCACTATTGTCGTCATCTTTCGATGGCTCGACGGGGGCAACTGGCACGCAGCACCGCTAGAATGAGCTATTTCGGGAGCGCCTCTGCGGTCCATAGGGATGCTATTTGAAATTCGAGTATATTTGGAAGAATTTGCTTATTCCAAATAAAACTACGCGCTTCTTAGGTCAAATTACGCGGTATTCAGTTAGGAAGTGTGTCTCCGCCACTGGCACGTGGGCCAGAGAGAGAAGTCTCCGGGTGGCACGTCTACGGCAGGGCCTGCGCAATGCGGTAGTGCGAGCATTGGCCGCGTGAGCGCGCTGGGCGGCGCAGTCAGTTTTGGTCTTTGGGTCGTATTGTGTGCTCAGCTGTGATTGTGTATACTGGTGTGTACACCTGTGTGACGCGTGATTGTTGTTATTTAATTGTCAAACTGTGGTGCGAAATGGAACCACCTGGCGGGAGGGATTCCCGTTTTAACTTGGGATACAGCATGAATCTGTTAAGTGGCGAGACTGCACCCGAGATTTACGGCAACCCGAGCCTGGGCCGGCCGTCCACTAGCTTACAGCAACTGTCGCCGCGGCATACGATGGTGTCTAGTGCTTGTGGCGGCCGAGGACTTAAATCCGACATGTATGACGAGCGGGGGATGTCGTCCCAGAGCATGGGCCTGGAGGCCTGCGGTGTGAATGACATCTCCGAAGACACTTATAGTTCGTTACAGTCCAAGAAGTCACCCCCTAGCAACGGCAAAAAGACCAAAGGCAGAGTTAAGATCAAGATGGAATACATCGAAAACAAGCTGCGGCGGTACACGACGTTCTCAAAGAGAAAAACTGGAATCATGAAGAAGGTGAGATAACCTCTTTACGTGATGTGCTCTCCTAGCTTGGCGCATGCACGTGAGTTTATGCGCGCGCAACTAGGACCGTCTGTCGACCATCCTTCCTATAAAAAATAACATGAGATATACATCTGCCAACAATTATACAAATTCTCACTAATTCGTACGATTTTCGCGATTTTCATTAGCAGTGACCAATTCTCTACACAATAACAGTGCTCCTCGAGGTAATCATTTCGCCGATATCGGGCGGGTGCCCGAGTAATGATCCAAGATAGAAACACGTGACTGCGATAATTATGGGCACAGGCATTGTGGTACTGTTACATTATTGTTAGACGCTCGCGCCGCATACACTATTCAAATTACAAACATATGTTCCTTTTGACAGATAATACGGCGGACCGAAGATACCGTGTAGATAATTATAACGCCTCGGCGTAATGATGTCGCAACCCCTTGGGCAGATGAATTAATCTATTACTGCTTTAATATCATCATCGCCTTGGCATAGAAAATGATAGGTTTGCCGTACCCTAGGCAAGTAACTTATCTACTGGCTCTGCCGTGATTGTCGTTTATTGGGATTTTTAATTTTTCGGTTTCTGACAACCTGTTAAAACAAACATATGTTCAGATTAAAAACTGCTTACCTAATAATTAATCATTCATGTACCTAAAACGTAATTCGTTTATTATTCGACTAATGTCATTGAAAAATATTTAGGATAAATATTGCTCCATGAGATTTTCCAGCAACATGTAAAAAACAAAAGCGTTATATAACCGACAAAGTAATAAACAATCAAGTAGGTATTTTAAAGTTTTTTAGATTTTTTTGTATCAGTTAAAAATATCAGGTGCTTATTGATATCTCTAATCACTTTCAGGAAATAAAAAGTATATTATGCTAATAATTACGTCTTAAATTAATAAAAATAACGTCCTACAAATGTGTCTGGAAATGATTGAAATGAGTTGTGAAAATGGTTCCTAAATCTTGTCCTTAATATCATTTTTATTAGTTTGAAATTCTTGACATAATATGTTACATGGTTTATGGACACTATTAAAGAAATTAAATCCATAATTTTATCAGTTTTAAAAAAAATCTAAATAATAAATAAATCTTGCTTTTTATTGATTTACTATTTGGGTTTCATATGGATATATTTAAAGGGAAATAGACAAACAAAATTAATAAAAAATGTATTTATATAAAATATGTCAGCAATAGCGATATTAATCGGTCAACACAGTAGCTAGTAAATTCAGCAATAGCTAATAAAGCAACAAAAACCAACTTCCACCTTGATCATATAAAGTATTTAGGAAGAACTCCAGAACTTTTAAAGTTAAAACACTGATCACTATAACAAACTAAAATAAATATTATACCGATCACATCTCAAAGTATTACAAGAGAGATAGTTCACTAAAAATTTGTAAACTGTCTTGCATTCCGCATGAATGGAGGCAGGTTTTTGGTAAAATAAAACATTAACGATAATAAAGCAAAAAGAGATCTCTACACAAACTGACAGTTTTTATTATACAATATCAGCACGAACATTAAAATTAAACATTAAAAACATTAAAAATCGTTTTCAAGCTACAAGGTGCTCAAAAATAATGAAAACACGAGTTCATTTCAAGTTGCAAAAAAAAAACATTTTAAATACCTATATATTATTTCATTTGTACATAAAATAATTGACTTACTTAATTGTTGTTATTATATATTTCTAAAATAATTTGGTGTTATGACCAAGTGTTATGATAATTTCATGAATAATACCTATTTATATACTTGCCATACCTACATAGTATAATATTTTGTCATTTATCTTGAAATCTGTGCTTCTTAGAATCATGCAGCAACAACATAATTTTGTAGATTTTTGTGTCTTGACAGTTTAGTTTGAAATAGTCTTGAAAGAAAAAACATTGCAAGAGAAAATTACGTCCACATCGAATAATAAGTTCCTGTTATTGAAAGAAAAACTAACATATGGGGGAAGTGAGACAAGAGTGTTGCACTTTCTTTTTTGTTCTCAGAGATGTAAGAAATACAAATTATTATATAGTTGGATAAGAATTATAGCTTACTGTACATTGAAAATAGGTATTTAGAATACATTCTTATGTTATATGATAAATATGCAATAAATATGAAATCATAAATATACATATATTTTTTAAATGACTAACTAACATTAGGTATTTCCTGGTAGGGAACGGTGCTACAGTAAGATTGGTACAATATTACAAATTCAGCACATATACTTGGTTAAATTTGATTTAATTCAATCTATAAACGTTAATTTAGGTCTTAAAATATGATAGGGAACAATATTCTGTAAGAACATTGTATTGAACAGTATTGTAAATACTGTTCGTTCGTTCCTCTAGCATTGTTTCCTACACAAACTACCAATAATTAAATTAAAATTTTAAATATTTTGCCATATGGGTTGTGTTATTATCAAATGATGTGGCATGCGTTAGCAGTAATATTACTGTGTTTTAATTCAACGAAGTATTCATGTAACATAAGATATTTACTTTTGTATTAAAAAAATATCCTTTTTAGCTTAAAATACTTTGTTATTCAACAAACTGCAAATAATTTGCTTGCTTATTGCTCATCCAATATAAAAAGGGATATAACACTCTGTACATAAACACTGCCCTCTGTAACACTGTTGCTGCACTTCCTCTACTTTTGTAAATTTGTAGACAATCAAAAGTTAAATCTGCACAACGGAACAATTTTTACTGAAATCGTTTTAGCTTTTTTTTATTTTTCAAATATTTTTTAACATACTTTCGATCTTTTTTTTTAAATTGTGCCATTAATATTTGTCAATTTGCTTAATATTGCAATTAAGCATGTTCGCAAAAAACAAAACTTTTGATAATGTTTATAATCATCCTTGTAATTGTCTGAAAATTGTAACAAACATTCGTCCACGCTGGTATAATTTATTATTTTAGAAGTCCATTTGCTCTTCTCTAGTAAGAATTTCAAAATTTAGGTCGCATTATTTTGGTACCATCTCGGTGTTTAACTAAATGAAATTTGCATACATTACCGTTTGGAATTTCAGTGTTCTATTTTAGTTTGTTAGTTTGTCAAACTGCAATATTTTTGGCTGCGCTTAATGTTTATTAAGTTATTAACCTTTCTTCATGCTCACATGGGTGGTATTAGTTTCTTCCTTTGCAGTTTTCAATATAAAATTTACAAAATATTTATTTAAGTAGTAGGTAAATTTAAAATCAATGTAATTATTGCAATTAATGTAATTAATTCAAACTTAATTAATAATTATTATAAACGTTAATAATATAAAGGTATATGAAACTGGCTTACTTCGAGTTAAATTAAATCCTGATCAGATATTAGTTAACACTATTAGGTTCCAATTACAGTTTTAGACCGGTGAGTAAATATTAAATAAATATGCCTCGCAGAACGTTCAATTATGTATAATGAATGACTGATTGCGCTAAAATATTTACCCGCATATACTTATAATTCACATCTCACGAGGTAATAGCGCGTAATTTATACAATTTCAGTAAATTTTTGAATTAAAACATTGCTCGCATTATATTATATTCGGTTTCAAAAATAGTAATAGAAACTGTAATATCTTGGCTAATAATCAATTATGTGTTATAGGTATTTGTTCTAGAAATAATTCAATTTTGTTTTATTTAAAAAATGATATGGTGACTCGAGTGACGATTTACGTTTTGTTTCTTGAATATATGTATGTTGATCTTTTCAAGTCTAGAAAATAAAATATATATTTTAAACAGTAGTTTCAGTTTTAACTAGGTATATCAAATTTTAGTAATACCAAGCCTGCAAAAGTTATACAGCATATTATTAAAATACTTACAATTAGCAATTTTTTTAATAACAAAAAAGTTAATATAGATATAAAGCCGGTAAAGTTCGTTATTGGGTGTTAAAAAGAAATTGTCATATATGCGGCTTTAATATTTAATATCATTGGTGGTGATTATTTGAATTATTATATAGCTGTTATTTCAAAAATAACACTAATTTCTAGCTTACTTAAGGGCGCCATATTCTGGAAATGATGTTTAACACAAAGACAAATAATTTAAGCAATTTACTAACTGAATAATTTGAAGCTTATCAAATAACGGGAATGTTATGTCATGTCATTTGTGTATTTTCAAAGACGCCGCAGTAAAACGATTAAATAGGTACAAAAAACGATCAAACTGGTTTAGGTACTGAAATGTACGAAAATACCAACTTTTTTATATATAACTCCACATGTAAATATTCTTATAACATATACTTGCTTAGCCCTACATATAAAATTGTTTACTTTTATTTATAAGAATGTGAAAATAATTTTTAAAATGTGGGGTTAGGATAACAGCAAACGCATGTTTTACAAACGCTTTTTTTAAGTTATTGTTTTATTTGAGTAAATTGAAATAGTAACAAACAGATCATCCAGGATTTTATTTTTGGGCTTACTTTTGTTCTACACGTCTTATTTTTCAAGATTTTAGTACCTAAAAACGCCAGAAATTTGACTATTTTTCGGCCAGGGATATGGCCACCTTAATTACTCTCACAGTTACCTCTACCTACATGGTTTAACATTTTGCTATGTATCTGAAAAACGGCCGTAAAGTATATGTTTCTGTGATTACTTCACTAAGCATGTTCCTAATCGCGAGTCAAATAATAAAAACAATAGACAATAAAAATTGAGGAGTAAAATTACTGTTAAAATTTTGAAAAAGTCATGTTTTTAGCGTCGCTTCTACATATTTTACGATGAAGGCAATCTTTAATTTTTACTTTTCTGTAACACTATTAAGCTAATTCAAGAGATGTGCCTCTAGAAGTAAAAATATAATTATCCCAATAATCACGCTGTTACCCTTATTAAAATGTACATTTATGTGGTCTTTTTATATTTCCCTTTCTTTCAATTCTTTAAAATGCCATA